CCAGACTTGGGTAGTATTCCGAATACAGTATTCGGAATACTGTATTCCGAATACTTTTTAAGTATTCCGAATACTTTTTAAGTACTTTTTTTTGAAAGTATTCAACCCAGTATTTTGAATACTTTTTATAAGTATTCCGAGTACAGTATTCGGAATAAATTTTTTCCAATTAAATTTTAAAAATAATTTCATTAATTTTCCGTCATAGAAATTGCTTTTGTATACTATTTCTATACAAAATATTATAAAGCAATTGTCGATCTTTTTCTTTTTTTTTGTGTTTGTGTGTGTACACCGTCTTCGACACACATCAATTGTATATTAGGAACAATTGCAGTTTAGCTACCAAGCGATTTTTTCAAATTTTTTTTTCGAAACCTAGGTAAATCAACGTTTTAAAAATGATGGTGCCAAAAAAAAGTTGCGCAAACTCTTAGTTTTTGAGTTATAACTGTTTGAAATTCAAAAATTCCCAAATTTTGAATTTTGAATTTTGAATTTTTTTTGTGGTAGACTTATGTATTTTTACTATTTAAAAACGATGGTGCAATCAGAATTTGTCGATCGAATTTAGTTTGAAAGTTATAGCGGTTTTAAGTTATGAAAGTTAAAAGTTGCAGTGATTACGAGTGTATTGGCACTCGTCGCTACGCTCCTCGGCGCCGTCGCTCCGCTCCGCAAATCGAAAATATCCCCCGATTTGTTGTGTAAAACCACCTCAGGTGAACCTCGGAATTAAACATAGTTGTTTTTTGCCAATTACAAAAACATTTATATTTACGATATTTGGATTCAGGTTATATTTGTCCAACATATATTCCCAGTTAGGCGATAACTAGGTAGATAACATTATGTCTGTAAAAGAACATTTAAAAGACATTAAGATAAAAATATTGTAGGTCATAAAGTTTCATAATTTCAAAACTAATCATTAGGATTATGATTAGTAATATCGAGAAATTATATATCTGAAAAATATAAGGCGCAACTACCTCACTTGGCGACTTGGTTCAACAAAAAAAATTTTTCTTTAAAAATCCAAAAATTTTAACTTAAAACCGCTATAACTTTCAAACTAAATTCGATCGACAAATTCTGATTGCACCATCATTTTTAAATAGTCAAAATACATAAGTCTACCACAAAAAAAATTCAAAATTTGGGAATTTTTGAATTTCTAACAGTTATAACTCAAAAACTAAGAGTTTGCGCAACTTTTTTTTGGCACCATCATTTTTAAAACGTTGATTTACCTAGGTTTCGAAAAAAAAATTTGAAAAAATCTCGTGGTAGCTAAACTGCAATTATACCCGAAAAACATTAAAATGGCAGATTTGAACGAAATTGACGATGGTCAATCTTCGATCACTGATGGCACTTGTAAAACCTATCGCCTACCTTGGTCAAAATATGACAACATTTTTAAAATAATTGATCTAAAAGAAGATTTTGAAACGTATCAATGTTCGTTGTAAATATTGTGCTTCGTCCAAACTACTGACAGCAGACACAAGGACTAGTTCCAATTTATTAAAGCACTTAGAGGTAAGTACCTACTAGCTACATACATTATTTAATTGTATTAAAAAATATTTTTATAGGTATACATAATAATTATGGTACGTAACTACGTAAGCTATGATTGAGGGATACTTTTTACTATTGGTACATAAATAAAAAAACCTAAGTAACGTTTTTCGATAATTTGACATTTTTTTCCCAGACGCAAAAGCCTATTTCAACATAAAACCCCATATAGTAGGTATCTAATTTTAATATAATTAAAAAAGTATAAATTTAATATATTTATGTATTATATAATATTATTATATTGTTATAATATATTATGTACCTTTATTATATTATAAGTTATAAATTTAGATGGTACAGAAAAAAATTACAAGTATTAATATTGGAAGAAGTATGTTAGCTAATATAGTAATATATTTTTGTTTAAATTAATTGGAAGAATTAATTGAATTATTAATAGTACCTATAGGCTATAAGTATATTTAAATACATATACATTAATAAACTACAATTTAATTGTAAAGGTTACTACTTATTATTTTGTTTTGTATTTTATTGGTTTAGATGCAACATAAAAATATTTGGACATCACAAAATGAAAAATTTGTTCAAACTAAACTCAAAAGAAAAACTGATGACTGCATCAATGAGAACTTCCATTCAAATCATAAATTGGAGATAAATGAAAAAAAAACCAAGGTTACGACGATATTAGATTTTTCTAAAAGAAATTCTTCAGTTTCTCAAAGTAAGATTGGTCTTCTGCATTTTTGTAAAAAAATTAATTTTATAGTATAAAGTTAGATGTTTATTAATCATTATTAATTTTATATTAAACTTATATTTTATCATACTAATACATAAACTTAATCTTATATTTTAAATGTAATAGGTACTAGCCACTAGATAGCCTATATACGTGTATCAAGTTTTTTAATGAGTTGTGATTGATTAAATTGTCTGATCAAGATTTTAAAAAACTCATTTGAATATGATAACAACTACCTACCTACTCTAAATATTGACAATGACATTTATAATAGTTTTTCTTATTTATTCCTCAAAATTGGATTTATTGCTTGTTTCACTCAATATCAATTATCAATCATATTATTATTTTTAGATGAGTTAAATTTGATGATTCAAAATTTGATTATTAATGCTTCATTACCATTTAATTTGGTAGAACAGATTGATTTTAAAAATTTGATTACAACTGGATATCCTAATCGTCATGTGTTATCAAGGAAGACGTTAATGAAAAATATAGAAGCTCAACATCAAGTCCTTTTACAAGATATGAAAAGCATATTTTCCAAAGTTAATTATTTAACTACCACTGCTGATTGTTGGACTATTTTCAAAAGGTTTGTTATTTTAAACAAATTATTATCTAATTCATAGCATCTATAATTTAAATATTCTTTTCAGATCCTATTTGGGTATGACTTGTCATTGGATTAATCCAGTATCACTAGAGAGAGAGTCTTGCTTATTGGCTATAAGAAGATTAAAGGGCAGCCATACTTATGATTTGCTAGCAAGAACTATGGAATCTATTTATACTGAATTTAATATCAATGATAAAGTTATCTATACAACAACTGACAACGGTTCTAATTTTGTCAAATGCTTTGAGTAATTATAATAGTTATTATTATTTATTTGTATTTTAGAAATTTTTACTATTAAATAGGTAATTTGAACTGAAGGGTTAACATTTTTTTTTTCTAAATATATAATATATTTTATTCTGTAGGGAAGTGACTTACCTATATAATATGTTATACTAACAGAATTTCTATCAAAGTCCACAATGTTCATAATCATATCTAAAAAAATTTCATAATTATAAAATCAAGGTTTTAATAATTCATAAAGAATATTAATATGAACTCTTAGTATGCATTTTTTTTATGTTAATTTTTTTAAATATTTATTATTTTACTATAGTTGTGACTAACTCAACTAACTAATTTATATTATATCAAGATTATTTTGTTCCCTTAGAATATATGGTCAATCGTCAGTTGTTGAAATTGTTCAAGATGGAAGTAAGAAAACAGATGTAGAAATTCTTCAAACTCTAGAAGATTCAATTGAAGAGGAATATGATGAAAACAAAGAAGACACTGACGATGATGCTGATACTGAAAAAGATGAAGATGTTAGTTTTTCTCGTATATCTATTACCCAAGTTCTGGATAACAGAGAACTAATTGGTGAATGTACATCCAATTGGGATGATTGTATGGTATATAACCTACCTAAGCATCACAGATGTGCTTCGCATACTCTAAATCTAATAGCAACAGCGGTAAGATACATTTAAATTTATTTATTTACTTTATCTTATTTTTTTTTCTATTATGACATTTACAATTTTTAATTTTAGGATATTGAAAAAGCTTTATCGCCTAATGTTTCCAAAAGACCATCTATGTTAAACTACAGAAAACAAAGTAGACTCACATTTTCAAAATGCCAAGCATTATGGAATAAGCAGAACCGTTCATCTCAAATAGCTGATATAATTAAAATGAATTTGGGCGTTTATTTAAAAACTCCTAATCAAACACGTTGGAACTGTTGGTTTGATTCATCAAAATTTCTTCTTTTGCATTTTAAAAAAAGTCCTTCCAAGTTCACTAAAGTGTGTGATGCTATAAAATTAAATCGGTTTTCCAAAAATGATTTAGAATTTTTAGAAGAGTATGTTGTAGTTATGGAACCATTGTGCATTTGCCTTGATGTGTTGCAAGGGGAAAAAAATATGTATTTTGGGTTTTTGTTGCCTTCTATTACAATACTCTTAAAAAATATGATGATATCGCTAAAAAAAATTTAGTTTATTGTGATTCTTTAGTTAGTTTGATAAAAGCAAACGTGGAAAATTTTTTGACTGATCCGTTTTTATTATCTGCAACGGTTTCACATCCGTTTTTTAAAACCATCTGGCTAACCGACAATGATAAAAAAGATAAGGCATTATCATTTTTTAAAAAATCTTGTTTAGAAATGTTTGAACAATCAAATTTGCCTGAATCTGAGATATCTGATAGCAATATGAGTGATGATGCAAATAATTACTTTAACTGGTCTGAAAATAAATCAAAAGTGGATCTTTCATTAGAGCAAGAAATAACAAGGTATTTGTCAAAAAGTCCTACAAAAAATCTTAATATATTGAATGAAATGCCCACAGTTAAAAAAGTATTTTTAAAATTTAACACACCACTTCCTAGCAGTGCTGCTGTGGAGCGCATATTTAGTATTGGTGGTGCTGTTTTATCTAAAAAAAGAGGTAGGATGAATGATAAAAATTTTGAAAATGTATTAATGTTAAAGTGTAATAAATCATTAATATAAAATAATATACAGTATTGTCAGTATTAACTTTTAAATATAATAAAATATATTTACCTATTATTATTATGATGTCAACGTTGTAATTTTTTTTATTATTATTATTACTTAAGCCACTACAACTTGGCTATTGGTTTATAGTATTAGTTGACTATTTTATTACTTTTTATAATGGTATTAACTATAATATTATTATGATTAACTATTAATTAACAGTATGTTTTTTTTTTTGTATTGTGTTTTATCAGAGCAATTCTTTTTTATTAATACTATTTACTATTATTATTTAATAAGCTTAAATTTGACCATTGGCTTAAAGTAGTTGTAATGTTGTGTAGTTAATAGTTATATTAGTAATTAGTATAATACTATAATGTTGATCATTATTTTTTTTTTTCAGTTTATAAAATAATAAATATGTTGAAATAAACGGTTTAAAAGTATTATATTGTTTGACATTATTGTATTATAATTATTTAGGTATAATAGTTGGTGTTATGAGATCTTATATAGGTATACTCAGATAGGTGTGTATTATCGAGGTTATAATAATGTTCATTTATAAACACAGAATTGAAAGAATAATATTTTTGCTATTGAAATCTATATCTACTGAAGAAAAGTATTCGAAAAATATTTGGAATACTTTTTGTAAAGTATTCCAAATACTTAGGAATATTATTATCACAAAGTATTCGAATACATATTCTGAATACTTTTTTTTATAGTATTCGGAATATGTATTTGAAATACTTTTAAAAAGTATTTTACCCAAGTCTGCGGCGGACTCAATTTACATGAATACAACTTACAATGACTAACTCCTAAAAA